CCATGCCTTTCCCTTGGGAAGGGAAATGTGAGCACCGGTGAAACTGAAACAAGGGCTGGAAGTTTCTACCAGTGTTTGCTTGGAGCCCTTTGCTTGGTTTGGAGGAAAAAAATTATAAGAATTATCTAACTTTGCTGTTTTCTATCCAGCTATCCCCCCATGTGTGCTTATTTGCACTCATTCCCAATACAAGGGCTTCCAAAGCTTTCCCAGGCATGAAACAACTGGTTTTGCACCCAAACCAAGACAGAACCTTCAACCTGAATGATAAAATTTTCCTACTTCCTCCTGTTTTCTTCTAGGTCATCAGGAAATGCAAATGGCATCCCCTTTTTGAGGTTAATTGTTTTTATGGAGGGGTTGCTGAGCAGTATTACCTTGCACCAGCTGAGAAATTGGCCCTGGAAGCAGCTCAGCCTCCAACATCCTCAAACAGCACAATGATCAGGGTCTGCTGTTGGCCACATTTAATACTGCTGGAAATGCTTGCTATAAAATCCTTTTTGAAATTCCAATATTAATGCATTTCCTATTGATGTTAAGGAGAGCCTGCAACAACAGGGCAAAGGCTGTCAAACCCCAACAGTCCCAGGGCATCAGAAAAGTGTAGGTAAAGATGCTTTTTTTGCCAAGTTTGACCATGAAACTGCCCAAAACTTCTCCCCATCCTTCTGCTTAGCACCTGCTGTATCCCTGACATGTTACCTGTGGTGGTGCTCTTGGGTAGGAGTTTTACTGGAACATGGAATTGCTGTTTTTCAGAGAAGACAGCTGGATGGGGAAAAGCTCCCTTTAAAAAGAGCCTTTCTGGAATGTGCTGCTCAACAAGCTTCCCTTTGAGGAGGGACTTCTTTGAAATAAAATCACTTTGCAGAAGGTGTTATTGCTCCTCATTAAGTGTATTCTATGTAAATTTGATACTGAACAGAAGAAATTCTTGGGGACACCACCTCCTTCCAACCTCTGGCCACAAAGCTTTCTCCAGGAAGGACCACCTGATGGGATGAAAGGACTGGTGTTGTTTGTTTTCTTCTTCTATGCATACAATGCTGAGATTGAATATTCAGCTCTGCTTTAGCTGCTGCACAAGTAAATAGCCTTGGTATTTAATTACTGCAGCACATTGACCTGGAAAGCAACGTGAGTTTTTTCCTGGCTGGCACACAACACCAACATGGCAAAAAAAACTCCAAAACACTGGAGAGGAGCAGTGAAGCAGTGGAGTGGGAGTGGGAAGGAACACTGAATTTATCTCTGTGTATCACCAATCACTCCCAGAGAGATAAATGCCAGCAACAGAGCCCTATATCCCTTCATCCCCTAAAGCACTGCTGTACCTGGCTTCCACTTTTTTTCCAGTAGAAATCTCTTGGATCCAATAATGCTTCACAGACTTTTCAACCACAGGACCAAGGAGAGGAAGTTTGATGTCCCCATCCCTCATAACCATGGTGGGGATGTCCCCAGCTGGCACAAAGAGCCAAATCAGAGACCTGGTACCCAGCTTCTGTTGGGGGCTGTGTGTCTCCAAGGAGCACTCAAAGCCTCACCAGCTGGGTGGTATCTGCAGCTCAGGCAGAGCCCAAAGAGCAGCTGAGCTGCCACACAAGTTGTGCTGAACATTTCTGTGTGCAGCACAGGAAAAGTGATGGTTCTGTGCTGCAGCATAAATGACACCCCATTAGAGAGTCTGGGGCTTTGGGGGTCCGGCAGACATGAAACCACAACTTTCCATTTTCCATGCAGAAAACCAAAAGAAACAAACTTTTTTTTTTTTTTTTTAAGAAAATGCTTGGGTGAGCAATGATTTTATTGTGCTATTAATATGACCATAAACAAGAACAACATGTGTTTATAGGTTCAAGTGCTTCATTACTCGCTCGCTGACATGGTGGAAATCACCGTGGCATCAGTTTAAAGTGCAAAATGGAGCAAATCATTGTAGCCACGTTGTAAAATCATCTGGGCAGGCAACCTTTGAACAAAGGCAATTGATAGCTCTGAGGCAGCTGTACAACAGCAGTAAACAGAACAGTTGTCCACAAGCCACCAGACCTGCAGGAGAGCAAATACAGCCCGTGCCTTGGAAGGGGAGGGAGCACCAAGGGGGCTGAGAAAGGTTTGGGAAAGAGAAGTGAAGGTTCTCTGAAGGTGACAGAGCTGCTGTTGGCACAGAAAGTGGGCTGGATCCAAGGCTGGAGCTAGGAGGGGTGGGGCAGCCCCTGGTCAGCTGCAGGGTCTGGTTCTCCCTGATCTCGGTTTTCTGTCTGATCTCCTCCAACCCTGCCACCCCAAACATTCCTGTGACAAACTGTGTGGGCTGAGCCGGGCTGTGCCACCAACAGGCTGTGGGAGCAGGATTGAGGATGCACCCTGAGCTGGGAAGACCCAAACTTTCTCATGGTTTTTGTTCACATCTGCTGGGGCAAATGCTCCTCTTTGCCATGCAATGCGGGGTACAAAGGGACGTGGATCCCCCAGGGAAGGATTTCAAAGTGACATCTGGGGAAAGAATGGCTAAATATTGCATGGATTCCCTGGATGTGGGTCTGCAAGCCTGGGACCTGCACAGGGGTGCTGGTTTTTCTGTGGGTGCAAAGACCTGGAGGGAAGGAATTTCCTCTGTCCCACAGGGCTGGGCAGACACACTGCCTCTGCTATGAGGAGACCAAGAGACAACAGACTGCAGGAGGGGCTCCTGCCCCGGGAAGGGGAGGGAAAAATTGGAAAACACCACCAAGAAATGAAAAACTGACATTGTGGGTGATGTCACCAGTAAGGGCAGGGAGTGAGCAGGAAGGAAAAATTACACATGTCCCAGTTGTTCCACTTCTTGTCCCTCTGCCTCGTTTCGTCTGTCACCAGCCCCCGGCGCATCCTGACGGTTACCAACAGGCAATAAATAAAACCTCTGGAGCCACTGGTGTCAACATCTTGGCATTGTTTGGGTCTCCTTGTTTGCCTTTAAAATAACTCTCCTCCTCGGGGTCACGCAGATGAAAAAGCGAGGACCCCCTGCCATCACCCATAGAAATCATCCTGCCACGACTTGTGCTGCCTTTTTTTATTCCTGCCTGCAAAGTTTGGGGTTTGGGGAGGTGCCTGGGAGCTCTGCCATTACCAGGGCTCTGCTGCCTCTTCCCTCGAGCCACATCACCCTCTTCCCTGGCTCCCAGAGGCACACTCAGGGCTGGATTTGGGATGGTGTAGCCCGTGCTGCTGGCTTATCTGCTGCCTGGCTGTGCCTGGCTCTGCTGCGGATGTTGGCTGGAAAAAGAGTGGAAAAACAAACGGTGGAGATGTGGATCCACGGTCAGAGCCTGGCCCTGCAAACATGGTGTGCCACTGCTGGGCCTGGCACTGGAGGGAGGCCATTCCATGGCAGCCTTTGCCCTGGCACTGGAGCTTGGCATCATGCAGGCTGCTAATGCGGCTCTGGGGGCACAAGAAATACTCCTCCAAAGACAGTTTTTGTCGCAGACATCTTTTATGGAAAATCCTTTCCTTAGGATTTTTCTTCCTGAGGGGCCTCAGGAACAAGATGTGGGCATTGATTATCCGCTGCTGTGGAGTGCATTGGGTGGATCTTCGATTGGCCCATGTTGGATGTTTGTAATTAATGGCAAATCACAGCCCAGATGGCTCAGACAGAGAGCTGAGCCACAAGCCTTTGTTATCATTCTTTGCTATTCTATTCTTATCTAGCCTTCTGATGAAATCCTTTCTTCTATTCTTTTAGTATAGTTTTAATATAATATATATCATGAAATAATAAATCAAGCCTTCTGAAACATGGAGTCAGATCCTCATCTCTTCCCTCATCCAAGAACCCCTGTGAGCACCATCACAAGTTTTCATCCATAAAAGGGTGGCTTGAACCCTCACCATGCCTGCACAGAGCAGCCCCTGCAGGGCACCAGTGCTCCCCAGGGCCTGGAGCATCTCCTCTCCTCCAGCAAGGGTTGCATGGTGGAAAGCATCGTCCTCCATCCCAGATGAGTTGTGACCTGATGTCAGATTCACTCTCCCTGATCCTCCTTAGCCTGTTGTTTATAATAAAAATCAAGCGATCCATCTCTTCTGACAAGAGGAAGAGTTGCTCCAGGAAGCCCTGGACAGGTCAACTTCTATATAAAGGAACTATTACTTGACAGTTTCCTGGCCATAAATAGCTGTACAGCGAGGCTGGGGATTTTATTTAGAAATAACAAATAAAGTAGGCCATAAGTAACTTCATGACCTTGCTCCCCCCTCATTTCCCACCCAGCTCTCCCCTTCAGTAGGTCTATTCCTCATCCCCAGGTTCCTTGGGACTTAGAGGACCCCATTTCCCACTTCTGAGATGCTGCAGAAACATGCTGTTGCCAGCTTTTGGAAGTGTGGTGTGGGTTTTGCATCACTGAAGATTTTTTGCTACAGTTCAGCATCAAGAAATTGTTTTTTACCTGGCCTTCATTAAAATAATTAAAAAGCAATTTGGTCTGAATGGCTGAAAGCTGGAAATCTTCCACTCAAAACTTCCCCAAAACTGGATTCAAACAATTACACCTCCAACAAACCCCTTATTTTTCAGTCCCTCAAGCCTTTTTTTAAAGTTTTGGACGACTAACTTCTGATTTTCTAATGCTCTCACTTGGCAACATCCAAACCAATCAGGAAATACAAAAGAAAACCCCAGTATTTTAGTATTCTTTTATTATTGGGAGGTTTTGACCATTTTTGTCATGTCCTTTGCCTAAAATAATAATAAAAACCTCTTTGTTTGGAGCTGGAAAGGGAAGAGCAGCGTGTTTATTTCATGTATGACTCATCAGCTCAGTGTTGATACGCGAAACGCTTCAGAAGCTAACACTCTATAGAGATGATTGTTTTTAATATAAAACAGTAAATGTTTAAAACAACCATTCTTTGTTTTTTCTCTCTCTCTTTTCTTCCTGTTGTGGCCAATAAAACATAAGGCAGGCCACGTAGCTTACATTTTAATAAAATTAAGTTATTTGGTGCCATGTTATTACAGTCTTTTATTGGGAAGTGGAATAAATTGCACACAGTGGAGTCATAGGAGGGAGAAATCACTGCGAATAAACAGATTGTGGGATGCATTTATTTGCTGGTTTCATCTCAGAGGAGGAAGGCCTTCCCCAGGAAAATGGAGGCTCCAGCCTTGGGGAAGGATGAGTTTTTGGGGACCTGGTGCCACAGTGGGGCCATCCCAGCCCCATCCAGCTGGCGTTTCCCAAGGGCATCCTCCAAGAGAAACCTGTCCTGTGGCTGTGCTGGATGCTCCTCAATGCAGGGCGCCGGGGCAGCTGTTCTCCTGCCCGTCACACAGCCACAAAGGTTGGTCCCGAGGCTCTCTGTGGGTGCTGGTGGCTCCTAGGCCAGCGCCAGGGCACACCAGGAGTCCTGCCGGAGGGGCACGCTCAGCCCGGGCTGCGGGGCCATGCTGCCCCCAGAGAAGCTGTAATCCTCGGGCTCGAACTTGAACTCGCCGGGCAGCGCCTCGTCCGACTGGCTCTGTGCCTGCCCCGAGGGAAGAGAGGGGTTAGCAGGGATGGCATCGGCCTCTGGGCTGGGTTCATGGGGCACAGGGAGCGCTGGGATGGGCTGGGAACAGGGTGGGTATGGTGTGCACAGGCAGCCTCGACGAGGGGAGAGAATGATGTATCTGACTTTTATCAGAAAGTTGAATATTTTATTATATTTTACATTATATTATATTATATTATATTATTCTATATTATATTCTATTATTCTATATGATATTTATTATTTTATATTCTATTATATTCTGTAATACAATATAATATATTATATTATATTATATTATATTATATTATATTATATTATTATATAATTATGTTTTTATGTTTATTATTATAATTATTATTTATTATTATATATTTATATTTTATGTTTATTATTATAATATAATAATATAACACAATATAATATTATATTACATTATATTCTCTATTCTATTCTATTATTCTATATTCCATTCTCTTCTATTCCATTCTATTCTTCTACATTCTATTCTATTATTCTATTATTCTATTATTCTATTATTCTATTATTCTATTATTCTATTAAATAGTATCATATCGTATCATATTGTATCATATTATTCTATATTCTATTCTGTTCTTCTATAATATATTACACTATGTCATGTTACATCTAAACTGAATCTGCCAAGCACCCAACTACACACAACTGCACAGAATTTCATGACTGTCACCCAACAGTCCCGACACAAACACACATACACACACACACACACACACACACACACCTGACACGCAAAGGAAAAAAAAACAAAACACCATCACTCTGAGTAAACAATCTCCATATTGCATTCTACTTTGGCACAACACAAGCACAGCAAATGATGAGAATAGTGTTTTCTTTCTCTGAGGTTCAGAGAATGTGAAACACAGAAATATTCTTGGGAAGGATTGTGCCTTGCTTTTCTCTGTGAAGAGAGATGTGGTGACAGGTGGGTTATCCCTGATGCTGAAATTCCCTTCAGAGCAGTCCAGAGCTAGGCAGGACGGTCCCTGCAAGTAAAATGACCAGGCAAAGAGGAGGCACCCCAGGGCCTATCTGCATTTATTCATTGATTAAATATGTCCAGTTTGGAGATCTTTAGGTGTGTGCATATTTTTTCAGAGCACAGCACAAACCAGATTTCTTGGTTTCAAATAAAAACCCCACCCTATGTAGTGTAACCAGTGCTGCACCAGGACCTTGGGTGCTGGGGCTGAGCTTCCTCTCTATATACACATGTCCAGCTCAGGGAGAGATTAGACTCAGCATAAAGATCGTGCTCGGCCACAAAATTTTGATGTGTTGGTGGATTTAGAGTCTTTTTCTTCCTATATCAAGGTGAAATAGCAACCAGCCCCTAAGAAAAGCTTGGGACAGGAGTGTGGCCTCTGACAGCATCACAACTCTGTGATCACTGAGCACCTCAGTGTTAAAAGGCTCAGGTAACCCATGCCCAGGGAGCCTTTTCTTGGGAGCTACAGGGGATTCCACCCTGGGCTGATCTCATGAGCTCAGCAGTGTTGTGCTTTCATGGTGGGAGGTGGGAATCAACCTCAGCTCTGCACTGAAGGCACACCAGAGCTTGGACACCCCAGTTCTCCACTGCAGCAAGAAAGATCCCATGGGAAGCCAACAGGCTGAAGACCTTTCTCATCCACGTCTTGGGAGCTCATGCTCCCTGCTTTCCTCAGCCTGGAAAGCACCACCAGGCTGGTGGCCACAGTGCAAAGAATTAATTGCTTCACCTCATCAAGGCCATGGGAGCGTGTGGGTTTCCCATCCCCAGAGATGGCTGTGGCCCTGTCCCTTACCTGGGACACCGACACGATGGTTTGTCCAGGGTACTGTGAGGTTGTGCTGGGCTCTGACTTTAAAGTGACCGTGCTGTCTGAGGTGGTGATGGAAGAAGGGGAGTTTGTGGCTGAAGTTGTGGATCCTGGAAGACATTTGGAAGAGGGCAGTGAAGCAATGTAGGTGCAAATCTGCTTTAAAAAATTATATTTGAACAGCGACCATGACATCTCAGAGCACGACTCTACTGTTTTCTTTCTAACACATCTGTGTCAGAAAACACTTCGTATTAAGCTGAGGCTGATGGAGGAGGAGCAACCCTTTCACAATCTGGCAGTGGTTTTGTCCCCATTACTCAATTTAGCCCAAATCTGCTCAAACATGAGCACTGCTCACTGGACTCCAGAGGAACCTCACAAGAATACAACAGCACTGAGATTTCCCTCTGAGCATCTTCCTATCACATGAGGTCTGCGCAGAAATACAGGCCTCAGATCTAAAGCAATCACCAAGGAAAAATTCTCATTATTTTCTAATTACCATGATTATGAAGAGAACTGAGCTCCAACACCCCAGGATGGATTATAACAGCACTGTACCTGTTGAGGCTTTGCCTTTGGTAATGTTTTTAGGCTTCCTTTTCCTCGTCTGGATGCTTTCCTTTTTCATGGCCAGAGGTCGTGGTACCTTGACATTCATAAAGTTTGGAATCATTAATATTGTATTTTATTCAGCTCCTTCCCACACGTGTTGCTTTCCTATTTCTGTGCTATAGCTCATGCAAAGCACCTAAAGTCCTTGTCCTTCACTAAAAGCTATTTTTCTCTGCATCAGGCCTTGGCTGGAAGATATATAAGGCTAACAGCTAAGGCTTTCCCACAAATTTTGTTTTTTCCTTTATTTCCTATTTTTCTTTTCCTGATTTATTAGTGACCTTTGTGATGGGGCCTTATTAAATTACACTGACAGAGTGAGGGCTTACAGGGCTCAGAGGGAATGGGGTAAAGGGGCTCCAGGCTTTATGGAGGGATGGAGCCTCCTCTTGGGCTGGTGACATTCACCAATAGCTCCTATCCTCTGTGGGTAAATGTTATCAGCCAGCCTCCATGTGGGCTCCTCAGCCTCCTTCACACATTCTTAACTAGGACATGGAAAAGTAATATGGTCCTTATCTCAGCCTGGGTTTGGGGAGCTTCCGCCTCCAGCTACAGGAGCCTGGTAAGCTTTCATTTCATGGAATCCTAGGATGATTTGGGTTGGAAGGGATCTTAAAGATCATGTAGTTCCAGTTCCTCTGCCACAGGCAGGGATACCTTCTACTTCCCCAGGCCTTGCACACTTCCAGGGATGGAGCATCCACATCTCTGGGCAAGCTGAGAGCATTCCAGCACCCTGGAGAACCCGCGCCGACTGCTCTTTAAACTGTCCAAGGAGATGGGACTGTGGCACGGCTCTGCTGGGCCCAGTCTAGAGGCTGGTCCTTCCAGAGCTGACCCCAGCCCTGCAGGGCAGTGATCCCACACCCCAGAGGGTCCCTCCCAGGGGGGACAGGCTCCTCACCCCGTGGAGCTTCATGTACAAGCCGCAGGCGTTGCAGACGGGCTCGCCCTCGGCATTCCTCCTCCACAGCGTGGTGTTGGTGGTGTGGCAGTTAGTGCAACAAAGGCCAGCACGTCTCGAGGAGGACTTCAAAACAAGCAAACCAACACGTGAGTGCACACAAGGAGTGATGAACTGGGAAGTTTCCCTTCATATCAAGATGAAATCTCCAAGCACACCATATTCCCGGAAAATGCGCAACGCGCAAGAGCCAAATTCAGATCAAAGAAATTACATCCAAATGAGATCACTCTGATTTGCAAGTGTTTGTTTTGTTTGGGTTTTTTAAATTTGTTTTTGTTTAGAAGCTGTGGGGTTTTTTTTTTTTTGTGATTGATGAACCTAGAAAATATCCTTGCAACTCATTTCACAGACTTCCAACAAATTTGCTGGAAGCGATCAGGACTCAGAGCATGGAGAAATTCCCTCCAGGACATCTCCTCAGAAGGAGAAAGAGAAGCAAAATGCCAGCTAGGCTTTAAATGCATGAAGAAAACTCAGGCTTTAAGTGAACTCTTCTGTTTTCCTGCACTCAGAACTACCACTAAAGTTAGAAACATCCCAATTAGTCTCTGGATTATGACAACTGGAACCAGTTGGCTGAACTGAGCAGAACCAAACTGAACTGGTCCATGATGAGACCAGGGAGGTTATTCTCCGAATCTCACAGATAATCTGTTCTCTCACAGGCTGCAGAAACACCCTGCAGATGTTAATTAACAACATATTTTGTGAGTGCAGTGATTTCTGGCTCTTAAACATTAATAATTCCAAATGGAGAAGGAAAATATTCTGGCAGAAGCAGCAAACTAATTTCTGACAACTTCCCTCCAAAGCCAATGGAAAATTCACATCTCCCTTTATACAGACTTGTCAGCTCAATAGGCATTTCATTGCAGAGTCTTAACACCAGGTATTGAAACTATTTTAATAAAAATCCTCACTAAGTGTAAGATACCTCTGGCATAAGTAATATCTCAGACTCTCCACATTCAAGTGTCTAAATACGTTTTTCCAGCCACCAGAAAAATAGTTTTGAATCTGCTCAAAGGCAGACAAAAGGTGATGGAGGCAATAAAGGACTCCCTGTTTGTTTATTTTTCCATTATTGCCTGATATCCTGACTGAGCAATATAACGAATGAGGTGGGAAGAGGAGGATTAAAAATGAAATGTTTTTACAAAGTTAGCAGTCAAATAGAGATCAGCTTTGAATTCCAAGAGGCACAAGTGACATGCCCTAGGTTTGATTCACTCGTTGCTCAGCAAAGAGGTCTCAGCAACTATTTGCAAATAATGGCACCACTTTGAGAGTTCTTCGGCTTGCAAGAAATAACCAGGGAAAAAAAAAATATCCCAAAGTGTGAGCTGACAAGTCTGGCACAGAGGATGAGACAGCAATCTTTGTCCCTGACATGGTGTCACAGCAAGATCCTGGGGCAGCCACACAGTGCCCTGTGGAGCCTTTCAGCTGCCAGGGCTGTGCTGCTCTTCCCAGCAAGCAGCAGAGACCTCGTCTCCCATGGGAGCAGAGGAGATGCTGAGCACCCGAAGGATGCAAGGATTCCAAAGTCCAACTCTGCTGTGGGCACGGAGGGGAATTTGGAGCCACTCAGCCCTGGATAACTGCTTGCTGTAATCTGTCCTTGCCTGCAGATGGGGAAAGACCAGTGCAAAGCCCTTTGGAAAGTCTCAAATTTTCTGGGCCACCACAGGTCCCTCCCTCACTCTGTTTCACAGAATGTTTTGTCAGCTGCTTGCAGATGAGGTGACAATGGGAGCTGTGGCTCTGGTGGCCCAAGGGCAATGCCAGCCTCGCCAGAGCTCTGCCCACCCTGCCAGCACTGCTCACAACCTGCTCATGGCCTTCCTGCAGGGACAGTGACAATGCCTTCTATCCACCCTGAACGTCACCCTGCAGGCTGGCTCCTCACCAAGCCAGGGAGAGGAGAAACCATCCTACACCACCAATATTGCAATTGAAACCTCAGAAACCCCATGAGAACCTGCCCCTCATCACAACCTGCCAGCTTAGCAAGAGACAGTCAAGGCTACCATTGCTCACTGAAGGACAGGGTACAATACATTATTGCTGGTTTCCCAGCAATTCTCTTGAAAGAAAATGCATTTCTGTCTGCCTCCACCCCACTGCCTTTGTACCATTCTGACCTTGTTAGGAAGTTGTTGACTTCAACATTGTGCTCAGTGTTTATTTATACAAATGCACCATACACTCAAACAAAAACTCTTCACAGACCTGGCTTGACAGCCAAGTGCTGCTGATAAGCTCAAGGAATGGTGAGTTGGTGCCTATTGAATTAACTGCCTGTGAGAGCTGCTTGGAGAGCCCAAAAAAATTCAAAGCCAGCAGGGAGGGTCCTTCTGAGAGAGACCAAGCTGTCAGGAACTTTGCTTAATCTCCTTTTCAAACGTGGAAAAGAAACCACTGGTTTCACAGGGGAAAAAAAGGCACTGAACCCTCCGAGTTAATCAATGCTTCTATGCCCAGATTTCCAAAAGATTCAAGGGAAGCTGTGGTTTGCAGGAAAGAAGTCAAGCAAAGTGTGCTGAGATATCTGGGCTCTGCTCCTGAAAGTGGGGAACTCAGAGGCTCAGAGGCAAAGGCAGCAGCATCCTCTGAGATTTGCCTTTGTTCCTACACCTCTGGGCAAGCCTGCATTGGGGCATGAGGGAGCAGGAAGAACTGAGGGGCAGAAGAAAACCAAGGCAAACACCATGAGATGGCTCTAGGACTGCCCCAGGGCTGTGATACATCCCATCCCCACCTTCCCCAAGGTGTCACCAAGCCCACTGTACATTCCAAACCATAAAAAAGGACAGGCTGAAAAAATTCCTCCTGGGCTGAGGTGGAAAAAGTATTCTCCGAGCCAAGCTGGAAGAATTCAGCTCCAGGTTAGCCCTTCAGCTCTGGGTGGTGTGAGGCTGCTGAGCACAGGACAGAGGCTGCTGAGCTGCATCTGCCCCCCATGCTCCACAATTTCCCTAACAGGGGAATTGAAGCTCTCCTGGTTTCAAAGGTGATCTGGATTTTCAGACTAGGTCCAAGATATCATCTTGTAAAACACGTCAAGGAACTTTGGCTAGAAAAGAAGCTGCCCAAAATAAAGCTCTGCCTCCATCCTCCTCCAACACAAACCCTTTCTGCTGAGAGCCCCAGCCTTTTAAATCCAGACACAGGCTGGAGCAGAGTGGCTGTCCCTGCTGTGGATGTTGCCTCTATGTCAAAAAAAAAAAAAAAAAGGAAACAAAAAATGAAGTGGAAACTACAGGACTGCTGCTCTCTCCCTCCCATGCAGGAGCAGACTGAGCTGCAGGACATCATTCCCCCAGTGTTATCTGGGCTGTGTTGTGTCCTCTTCTGGGGGACTTTGCTTTGTGAAAGCAGAAGTCAGGATAACTCCCAGAGCAGTGTCTACGTACAGAACAAAGGTCATAACGTAAAGGATGAAAGCAACCTTTTTCTTTTCCTGTGTCTGTATTTCACTGCACTGAGAAAATGGATTTTACTGTTCCTACAGTCACTGCTCTGCTCCCAGAGCTGGAACCCTCTTGCCCATCACCAGTAGATCCCTCTTTTTCCAACAAGGCAGAACTTGTTGCAACAGGACATTTCACATCCTCAGGAAAACCCAAGGTTTCAAAATGTCAGAATGGAAAGTCAAAATTGCATCCCCTTCTCTAATCCATAAACCAAAATCCCCTCAAGTATTTCAACCCTAGCAAAATACTTCCCCTGGACAAAAATCAGCTCTTTCATTTAAGCTTTATCAGTGTTGTATATATTGCCAAAATAATAAAAAAGTTTGGAAGTATTTTGGTAATTCCCAACTATATTTGCTCATCACTGGGAAATGGTCTTAATTCTGCAAACAAGCATTTTCCATGAGAAAACTTTGTTGAAATGTTGGCTAAAAAAGTGCCTGATGGTTGCTATAGATGAGGCAATGCACGGCTGCGTCTCTTCCCATGCGCCGAAATAAAATATGGAATAGCAGTGAGATGTCTCCAATTCCCTCAGGGAAAAGCTGCTCAAAAATCCCCTAGAAACCTAGAAATTCATCCAGTGACACATTTGAATGCCAGTCTGAAATGCAGAGCTGGATTTGAACTGGTTTGCACCTCTCTGTATGCACGGGTCGTGTTTGCCCAGAAGAAATCAGCGGCGTAACTGAGATTGCGGCACAGAGCGACTGGGGTTCAGATTTAATGTCACCACATTTAAGGAGACAGAAAGATTTTGGAGGGACAGGCAAATCCTGTTGGATAATGCTGAAAATTACACAAAAATGCCTTGATTTTATTTTGATGAACAAAACAGGGGTATTTTCCACAGAGCTACTACTCATTTCATTTTGCAAATCCAAGCTATGTTTCCGAGGGTCGGAATCAGAATGAAACATCTTGCTCAATCTCAACTTTTTCTTTATTCCTGACTGATTTTCTTACACAGAAACTTGCTACTTTTGGGTTATTGCTAATAATTTGTTTCACAATACCAAAAAATAACTGCAGGAATACACCCCTAGTGAAAGCCCAAGGAGCTCCCAGCTGTTCCCCAGACCAGTCCCAGCAAACATCCTGTTTGTAATGACGGCGTCTGATGACAAGCTCTAAAACCAAAACTGTTACCACCAAATTTAAACATCCCAAAGTGACTCCACAAAAAAAAATAAAAAAAGGATGTGCCTTTCCTCTCTCACCATGGGATCCCAATTGGAGGAAGCCCAATATTACAGTGACAGAGGGAATTAATGCTTTAACGAGCAGGGAAAGTGGAAACTGCCAAACCCCAAATTTTCCCCTTAGGCAGGAGGGTGAAGGCAGCGGGGAGCAAGGGATCCTGCTCCCATTGTGAGCAGCCACAAACCCACTGGGCCAGCTCAGGACCAGCCCTGCCTCCTGTTCAACTGCTCTGCCTAGACTGTGTCTGCCTGCATGGAGAACTAGCAAATAATAATAACAATAACAAAATAATATAATAATAGTAATAGTAACAGTAACAACAACAACAACAACAACAACAATAACAATAATAATAATAATAATAATAATAATAATAATAATAATAATAGAATTATAAAGCAAAATATCCACTGCAGGAGCAGAGCTAGGGGAAGCCTGCAGGATCCCGACCATGGAGTGATTGTTCCTGCTCTGGTGCTGCCCTGGGACCCCTCCAGTCCCTTCAGCACTGTCTCCTCTGCCCACCACTCATGCCAGGGCAGAAATCCCTCTGGCTTCACCCATTCCCCCTGACCCCAGCCGGTTCTATGCTGCAACATGAGTGTCCTGGCATTTAATCTGTGCCAGGACAGGGGAGTCAAACAGAGCCTAACACAAGTACAGAGACCCCAACAACCCCCAGCCCCTGCCCTCCAGCCAGCCCCGGGTGGAGCAGGGAATCCCCCTGGGGTCTCCCTCTCTTACCAGCCTCTTCTGCGGCTTGAGCGGCCGGTTGATGCCGTTCATTTTGTGGTAGAGCCCGCAGGCGTTGCACAGGTAGTGCCCGGTGCCGTCCTTCCTCCAGAGCGGGGTGGACATGGCTCCGCAGTTGACGCATTCGCGGCCGTCCCCGGGGAACTCCTCCAGGTACTCTGGAACGAACAGCAGCCGTGAGAGGGGCAGGGGCACCTCCAGAGCACGGGGTGTCCCCGGGGACCCGGCGGGAAAATCCTCCAATCCTCTGTGCCCCAATACCAAGGGAAATCCCACTCCGGAGGGGGTTACCTCCATTCTAAAATTGTGACCCAAATCCTATATTTCCTCCATACCTTAAACTTTTAATATTTTGTTCAAAGTCCGCCTATTCCCCCATTCCTTCCACGAAAGACGCCAAAGGGCTGAACACGGCTGGGATCTCCCTGGGATGGGGATTGCAATGCGGGACAGTGCGGTGTTACCCCGGGGTGCAAAAATAAATGGGAGACGGGGAAAAATGGGGCAATTTTCCTGATTTCCGCCTCTGGCCGGGGGGACGGTCCGGCCGGGTAAGGCTCTGAGCTGCCCGCAGAGAAATGCGGGGCTGGCACCATCCCGGGCTCCCCAGAGAGCATCACCGGCCGCCAATTCCTGCTAGAGAGGCTTTCCCTCAGTTTTTCGAGAAAAAAAGTCCAGGGAAGGAACGGCAGATCACCGTCCGCGGTCCATCCCTGCCCCGAGCACTGCTCAGCGGCAAACGGGCAGCACGGAGAGAAATCGGGACACCTCTCACTCGAGAGTCGGTCTTTTTGTTCCGACCGCTTTTCCCCCCTCTTTTAAAAAAGAATTTATTCTTCTTGTTATTTTCTTTAGAGGAAAAATATATTTAAAATTATTTTTAAAAAATCTTCGATCAGATTAATAATGATGCAACGGAAAGAAAAAGGAAAAGAGCAAAACTTTAAAAGGAGGGAAATGGAAAATAGAAATAACACGTAAAGAGAAAAGGTAAAAAAATATTGCCGTAATTCACTGAATTAAAAAAAAAAAAAGAGGAAAAAAAAGAGGGAAAAAAAGGGTAATAATAGTTTAGGCTACTTGAGAGAGTTTACACAATCCAAGAGCAAAAATAAACGGCAGAGAGGACGGCAGCCGCTATCCTGGATCCGAAAGCACCGAATTCAAAGTGCAGAAAAGATTTCTGAGGCATCACCTCCCTCGGCAGGACGATCTTTCCCCGCACAATGCAAAGGATTTTCACAAAGGGAAACCCTGGAAAGCGAGCGCAGCCCAGCAGGAAAAGCCGAGCCGGGGAGGGAGCTCGGTGGGGAGGGGGCTGATTCCTGCTCTAACTTTGTTCTTGGGGTGAAGATAAGATAATTCGGTTCACCGCAGTAAAGATGATAACGCGGCTGAGATCTTGAAGTGGCTTTTAAAGGACTTTGCAAACCACAGCCGGAGGAGGATGGTGGAGTGCCCTGGGGTTATAAACCCCGCGCACGGAGAGTCCTGTTAAATCAAGCCCGAAACTTTATTTGCTCAGAGCTTGGTTTAAGGGAACTCTCGGCGTGGGTGCAAAGGAATTGAAGTTTATTGTTCAACGCCTGAGCGCCTTTCGGTGTCTCCCCAAAGGCCGCAGAGCAATGCAGCTGCGGACCTGTTTGGGCGAAGGCAAATGAGGAGACCAAGAGTCTGTTCAAATATAAACTAATTTACCACAATAAATTACTTAAAAGGGAGGGAGCTATAAATCTGCCCCGCTAATTTAAACACAAGGGTAAGTATTGAAGCACAGGCACAAAGTCGATATTGTGGGAAGGAGATATCGCGGGGGTGCTGGTGGGGTGGGGAGGGAAAGGCTTGAACGGCCTCTGCTCCTCTGTCCTGCGGGGAATTGCTCTGCTTTGAAACGCGCTCTTTGCCCCCTCCTTTATCCCACCTCTGCCCGGGGTCAGCCGCACATATCCCATTGCCGGACCATCTCCCCATCCCTGGATAAAATCATCCTCTCCTCTGCTCTTCCGTCGGGGATGCCAGCGGGACATCTCATCCCGGGGCCGGGCCACCGACACGGAGAGGGGATGGGACGGAGAATCGGGATGGGGTATGGGATCGGGATAGGGCACGGGAGTGGGATGGGGCATGGGAGTGGGATGGGGTATAGGAGTGGGATGGGGTATAAGATTGGGATGGAGTGTGGGGTATGGGATTAGGATGGGGTATGGGACGGGGATGGAGTATGGGATGGGGATTGGGGATGGCTCCCACCCAGCACCCCAAGACGTCGCTGAAGGACTGCGGTGACCTACCAAAAGTGGACCTGCGGCCGGGCAAGGCCGCCTGCCTGGTCTGCAGGCTGTGCAGCACGCTGCTCTCAAAGTGTCCGGCCGTCCAGGAAGGCGGTATCTCGGGGGTCACGTAGG